AATTTGTGTGTGACCCGAATTCCTTGTTGAAATAATTGAAGAATTATAATTGAAGTGTACATCATGAAGAATTCAAATTTGAAACATTATTAGAGTCCTATGTCATGTTGAAGTTCTATTTTGGAAGCCCATTGGAAGTTGAAATTTCTTTTGGACTCAATTTTATGGTATCCTACTTCATCAACAACTCTACTGGAGAGTTTGGACATCCCTTACTTATTCTCTATAAATACTAAACTCTTCTATACAATTTTATAATGTGAGAAAATAGATTAGTAGAATTATAGGATCCATTGTAATTTTCACTCTTATCTATTATTCTTGAGTCAATAAAATCTCTTAATTCCTCTGCATATTCTTGTTTTCTTTATTCTTTTGCTTGATCAAATATTTCATTATTATTTGCCATATAACTTCAACATCTCAATCCGGTGGTTTGTTCCACAACAATTGGTATCAGAACTATTTTAGTATCTTATTTGTTTTGCAACAATTGGCATCAGAGCGCCAAGTTCATGTTTCGCAAGAGCGCAAGTTTTGATTTGTTTGGAGTTTTTTATTCATGATGGCTACCATGAAGTATGAAATTTTGCTTTTGGATCGAAGCACTATATTTTCACTATGACAGGTTAAGATGCGTGCAGTACTTGCACAGTAGGATTTGGGTGATGTATTGCTGGGTATTGACAGGATGCCAGCAACTTTGACCGCGAAAGAGAAATTACGAAATGATAAAAAGATAGTTTCTCACATTCATCTTCATCTATCAAATTTCATTCTTCAGGACGTTTTGAATGAGAGGTCAGCAGCTGCTTTGTGGTTGAAGTTGAAGTAATTATGCATGACCAAGAGTCTTACAAGCAAATTGCATCTCAAACAGCGGTTATACTCTCATCGCATGGTAGAAGAAGGATCATTGGAAGATCACCTGGCCGTATTTAAGTAGATGGTCGCTGATTTAGAAACATTGGAAGTTAAGTTTGATGAAGAAGATTTGACCTTGATCCTATTGTGTTCATTGCCCCTTTTTCTTTCTTCATTTAGAGATATGATCTTATATAGTCGTGATACTGAGTGGTAACTCCTCCAAATACTACGAAATAAAAGTTTTCAGAAGATAAAGTATATGGTTTCTGAGGTTAGTGATAGAGAGGGCCTGGTTGCTCATGGTGGTTCTAGAAGGGGCAGATCGAAGTTGAAGTTCAGTAATCAAATTTGTCACTACTGCAAGAAGAAATGACACTTAAAAAAGGATTGCTACAAATTGCAGAATAAAGAAAAGATGACTGCAAGTAGATATTCAGATACTTCAGGCGAATCAGACCTCGTAGAGAACGTTGTAAGTTATCGAAAACTCTTAGCTATTTCTGACATTGAGTCTAAACCGAAAGATTATTAGATTCTTAATTCAGCATGTGTGTTTCATATGTGTCCTAATAAGAACTTGTTTGCTATATATGAAACTGTGTTCAAAGGTGTTGTGGTTATGGAAAACAACGTATCTTGTCGGGTTGCTGGAATTGGCACAGTCAGATTGAAACTTTTGGATGGAACAATTAGAACACTTGGCCAGGTTCGACATGTTACAGATTTGAAGAAAAATCTCATCTCGTGATCTATCATTGATTCAAAAGGTTATGAGCTCTTTGATGGAGGTGGAGGTGGAGCTTTGAAGGTTTGTAAGGGTACCCAAGTTTTATTGGAGGGACATAAAATGTCTCAGTTATACATCTTGTAGGGTGGTGTAGAATTTAGAAGAGTCAATCAGTACAAGTTCAGCACCGTGGTGGACATTCGGTTTGATACAATACCTTTAGGAGCTCATAAATGGACGAATTTGAATAATACAGTTCAGTGGAATTCAAGAGATATGGACAATGCCGCTTTGCCACTATCACGTGCGGCGCCATTGTATTAAATTGCTAGAGACGGACCCAGTGGAAAAAGGTATGTGGATGATAATTTTGTTGAGCATGTTTTAAGTGGAGTAGAAGGTGTACAATCTAGCAAGGAGCCTTCTGTAAAAGCATTTGATATTGATTTTGGTTTGGGGTGTCTTACAGTCCGTTTTGGTAAATTATAAAATCATTATAATTTTTTGGAATCTGAGGTAATTCTACAGTGTAGTACTTGGATTCATTGGAAGAAGTGATGTATTTTATGTTTAGTTGAAGAAATTAATTTTTTGGTTATTGTNTTTAGTTTGACCCGAATTCCTTGTTTGAAGTATTGAAGAAGAATTCAATTTTGGAATGCTATTGGAGTCCTATATCAGTTTGAAGTTCTATTTTGGAAGCCTATTGGGAGTTGGAATTTGTTTTAGGCTCAATTTTATGGTATCATATTTCATCAACAACTCTACTAGAAGGGTTTGGACATCCCCTACTTATTCCCTGTAAATACTAGGCTCTTTTATACAATTTTATAATGTGAGAATATAGATTATTAGAATTATAGGATCCATTGTAATTTTCTTCATTATTCTTGAGTCAATAACTTCCTTGAATTAAAATGTTTTTTAAATAAAGTATGATTCCCCTAACTTTTCCTAAATCACATGGCCTAACTAGGCCTTACGAGATTGTTTTAAAACATAGCTTTATTTTTTCCCAAACTTAAGCCAAAACCATGAGGCACTTCCATGTGCATTTCTTCATCAATCTCACTATGAAAGAAGACATTATTTACATCAAATTGCTGCAAATTCTGGTTAAATAAGCAGCCAAAGAGAGTTGATCTCTTTCAATGTTCATTTTTGTCGCCACTGCATAAGTATCTTGATAGTCCACTATTTAAGTTTTTGTATATTCCTTTGCAATCAACATCGCCATATATCATTCAAGAAATCCATCGGCTTTATATGTATAGTAAATACTCATTTTTGCAACTGACAATTTTCTTGCCTTTTGGTAGCTAGCTACACAACTCCCCTTCTTTACCAATATTTCCATCTCAACTTTCATGGCTTGTTTCCATCCCTTGTTACCTAATAATTCTATCAAGGTTTGTGGAATGGGTATGGTATTTAGGGGTGTGAGAAAAGCTACATGAGATGGTGAGAATTTTTGAAATGATACAAAATGAGGCAATAGATTTTGTCTTCACTTACGCTTCTTTTTCCTAATGGCAATTGGAAGATTAATATCATCACATGAGTTGAAGGGAACAATACAATTGTTTACTATATTCCCGGATGATGGTTCGGTTGCTTGAACTAGAACCGGTCGATGTTCGCTTGATCTCCTCCTTGAGTACCCTTGCAATGCCTTTCAATAGCATGTTCCAACTTTCAAGAAAAGTAACTCAATCTTTTATAAGTTGATCTATATTTTAATCTTTATTTGATGTGGAATTCTATCCCTTAACATGCTTCTATAAGATGATGGCTCATTTGAGCAAACCAACCTTAAAATTAGTATGCTCATTTTTTAGTCTTAATTGGATTGAATTGCTCGTTAAAAAATAATGGGTTCTGATACTTTATTAAGACACGTGGTTCCATTTTAAAATGTTAAACTTATTGAGAGGAGTAATTCAAACCCTTATAAGTTGGTTTATATTTTCATCTTTATTTAATGTGAAATTTTATTCCTAATGTGAAGTTTCTCTTTCATTGACCGCTTTGTCTGCTTTGTTGTTTCAGGAACTATACTGGTTGTTTTATGTAATTCGTGCACTATTGAGGTTTTGTCGAGAGGTTTGGATAAGAGAGCTTGAAGGAAGAAGAGGAACAGTGGACACTTAAACTCTCTAGGAGAAACCTTAATTAATGAAATAAAGTCGTAGGCCTTGTGCTATTTGACTATGGGTGTTAAGTAAAACGAACTCAGTTGGCAGCTCGCACGAGTTGACCGAGAGCCTGGCCAGCTAGCAAGCTTGTCGGCTCGCGTGAAAGCCAGTTTACAAGCCAAGTTAGGCAATCTCGAGCAAACTACATGGTTGGAGAATGCCATCAATTCTACGTCTATAAATAGGAAGCCGAGACACACTAAATTATCATATTTCAACATTATCTATAATCTCCTAGTACTCTCATCATATATTTTGCAGTATAATTCAATTTTTATATATTTTTTATTTTATTTTTAATTATATTTTCAATGTCTGTTTTTCTTATACTTCAATTCCAACTTTCTATTACTTGTGTTTACTCTGCAATTTGTTTACGGAAAAATCAATTAATTTAATTATGATCAAGAATTGCACTCAGGCTTTGTTGGAGGATTCCACTAAAAGTCAAACATAATTGGAGGCTAAACAATTATACTACAAAATACTAAGATGTGACTCATGTTTAACTAATGCTAAATTTATTTTTATTTTTTTTTGCCAGAACTAAATATTAACTTATAAATAAATTTTAATTTTTTAGATAATGTTTCCGGAGCATTTCATGTCTTACTTTTTTTCGAAAATAAAAGTTCTATATGTTGTGTCCTTTTACGTGTGGTTATCCATTTCCATTTTTGTACAACTAAACTAGTATATTTAATTTAGTGTACATTTGATTGAAATGACGGAATTTGTATAGAAAAAAATAAGTTCTAGACAATTCAATTTTTTAAAACTTATTTACATGAAATTATTAATTAAATGTATTTGACTGATTTAATTTTCAAACTTGAAAATGTTATAATAATTCGTTTTTTATTGGTAGGTAGATGAAAGAAGGTGAATTACCTGAAAAATAAAAACTAGTACCTCTATCTAAAGAAAATGTTTTCTTTGATTTTTAGAAAAAAAATGTCAATCAAATAACTCAAGTAGGAAGTTTGGTAGAAAAATGACATTTTTCATTAAAAATAAGTCAATCAAATACACTTACGGAAATAGTGATACAAATCCATGCAAAACAAAGCATAATATTGCATTATTTAACCCACACAGCTGAGGCATAACTGATACAAACCATCCAAAATAAATGGATGTACATCGCTCGTCCTCTTATTCATACTTAAGATACTACAACGTTAAAAAATACAGCACTTCTTAGGTAGGTTTTAGTTGTGAAGTTTAGCATCCACTGCCTTACCAGCATATCTACAGCACCTGCAACCCCAGTTAGGGTAATAGCTCGGGCCACAGCAGCCATAGCGGCAGTAGCCCCATCCACCACCATATCTACCACCGGGGTAACCTCCACCAGGGTATCCTCCATATCCACCACCGGGGTAACCTCCGCCAGGGTATCCTCCATATCCACCACCGGGGTAACCTCCGCCAGGGTATCCTCCATATCCACCACCGGGGTAACCTCCACCAAATAATACTCCAAATCCGCCTCCTCGATTCTTGGCTTCTTCAACCCCATTTGTCTTCTCAGCCTCCTTATCTGAAAAAATTTTAGGTGCAAAAGTACAAGATAGGTAATAGCTATTAATACTTAAAATGTTACCACACTGTCTATAAACTTCGATAGGAAAAAAAATGAAATTCTTAAACTCTTCTATACATGTTCTATTTTATTTAATAACTTGTGCACATTGTCCTGGAATTGTAGAAGAAATTTACTTTCAACGACGAAAACTTTTGTGTAAGAAGAAACTTACTAGTGGAAGTCTGAGACAATTCCCGGGCTAACACTTCTGATGAAATCAGAAGAACCATAGCCAGAAGGCCAATTAGAAGAATTGTCTTGGAACCCATTTGCTATAACTGATTGATAAGAAAAAAGAAACTTGATTTATGTTTTTGATGAGAATGGTTAAGAGTGTTTCATCTCTATTTATGGACAAATCTAGCAACATATTGAGCCTATGGTTAGAGTGGAGTAGGTCCAGCTTTTAGTTAGATAAATACAAAGATTTAATACGTACAAATTCCACCTTCTCTTGATCGACACGTCGTATACATATCTTAAAAACACTTTTAATCGATAATTAACTTTTTGCTAAATTTATATTAATGTGTTTATTGAGAAAAATCTGTAATGTGTTTTTCCATATCCAGTTATATATGTGCAAAATTGTTGGTTGGTTGGTCATTAAAATATAGTCATAATTTCATATTTTTGAAGAACTATTGATTCTAACAACTGATTGGGGAGTTGATTGTTCGGACCTTTCAATATTTGGTTTATTAATTTGTCATATGGGCCTACATATATAATTAATTGTGTATAAGACTATTTTAAAGTTGAGTCTAATTAAAGTGATCTGATAAAGCATTAAATTGTTGGGTTTAGGGTATCTAAATAAAATGTGCGTCTAATTATATGTGTAAAGATTGGATCCATTAGGGTGGTATTTGATAATAGACTAAATGCATATAAAAACTATAAATTGGGTTATGATCCCCAATTCATATGTGATTTTCATATATTTTTTTTGGTTATCTCATGAATTCAAGAATACAAGAAAAATCATATTGAAAAGAAAGATCCAAAACTCAAAATCACGAATCTAGAATTACAGTCAAGAATTAAGAAGAATGATTGGAGCAATGAAATTGAAGAATAATACAATCAATATTATGCAACAAGAAGTCAAAATCAAGATCAAGAACTAAAAGAGCCAATAATCAAGATTTAAGATCTGATATTAAAGCATCATTCCCAAATAATTAAGATATGTTCTGCATTATTAATTTTCTTGATGATTTGACATGAAAGATCTTGCCAATTAATCAATTAGATTCTCTAGTTTTATAAAGTTTCATAAGTTACAAGTGGTATCAGAGCCAACTCCATGTTAAATAATTAAAATTTAAGGAAAGATTTTTATTGTTGAAATTCATACATTAAATTTTGGGATCTTTTGATTTGGAATGTGAATTTTAGCCATAAATTTCGCAATTCAGAATTTTTAAGGAGAATTTTAGGGTTGAAATTCATACTTCGGATTTCTAAATTTTGGGATGTGAATTTCAAACATTTGATATCAAAATTTTGGGTATTTTCAAATTTAACAATTTTTAGGACTTAACTGTTGAATTTGAGTATAATTATAATTGATTGCTTTATGAGGAAAAAAGTTATGTTAATTATGGATGAAGATTCTACATAAAAATAACATAAATAAAATATAAAGGAGGCAGTCAAATTTCAAATCTTGGAACTGAAATTTATTTAGAATTACTAATTTTCTAAAATAAATTAATTGAATCAACTTGTTACCAAAGCAACGTTTTTTGAGTAAATTAATTTATTTGGAATATTAGGAAGATTGTGTGTACGTAAGTCATGCAATATTCACCGGCTCCTCACATATTTGGTCGAATTATTTGCACACATGTAGTAATAAATATGTGAATTGTAAATATTTCTATTATGTGAACATTGTGTCGGTTCAAAGATAGACTTGATATTTGAACGGATTTATTATCAATATTTGATTACTACACCAAAAGTACCACTTAAATGTTGATATTTCTGTCCAAAGACTAAATGTCAATTTTTTGTCCTGTCTCTTGTAATAGGGTTCACCATTATTTGAATTATTAATTGACCAATATGGATTCTAATGTGGACATATGAGTTAGGTTTAAGTTCTCTACTCTGTTAATCCATCAAGTTCTGAAATATCTGTCAACGTCATTTTAATTCATTTGCTTGAACCAAAGTTTAAGGGGTGGAAAGAGAATGTTTGTATAATTCTGACGGCATGAATCTAGACCTTGCATTTAAGAGTGAATTACCCTCTACTCTTACGGATAAAAGTTTCGCTAATAAAAATGGGACTTGAATAAGTAGAATCATTCAAATCGCACAAGTCTTATGACAATGAAACGTGAAATTCCAGCAACATTCATGGACGTTGTGTCCGATAATGTAACTATTGCCAATGAATTTATTAAAGAAATTGAAAAAAAAGGTTTCCAAGAGGTGATAAGGCCGAAACTAGTATGCTTCCGAGGAACTTGATTTCACTAAAGTATAATGCTAAAGAAAATATGTGGGAATATATCATGGAAATGTTTCTTGCTTCAAAATCAGAGGCATTAAAGTTAAAGTTGTCTAATGATTTGCTCGTGCATTTGTTTTTTATTTCTATTCTTGCATAATTTAGTCAATTTGAGATCAGTTCCAACTGTCAAAAGGGGAAGTGGACTCTTGATGAGCTCATTTCATATTGTGTGCAAGAAGAAGAAAGTTTAAAACAAGAGAGAATTAGAAGTACTTACTTGGCAAATACCTATTAGGACAGCTAAAGGATAAGGAAGCTGCATTTGGTTCAATTCAAAGGAATAGTAAAAGCCTGAAAAGAATTAATCATCTGGCTATTTCTTTGTGAAAATCTAGAACACGTAAAGAGAGATTGTACGAAATACCACGTTTAGTGTGTAAAGAAAAGTACACTGCTCATTTTGGTTTGTTTTGATGTTAATTTAGTTTTAATACCAAGACACATTTTGTGGATAAATTCTAGTGCCACTATTCACATAAGTGTATCTATGTGGGATTGCATGAACAACCAAAAGTCAATTGATGATAAAAGATTCATCTATGTAGGGCGATGGCAAATCAATCAAAGTTATGGTTATAGGGACCTTAGATTATCATTAAAGACATGTTATTATTTTAATTTAAAAAGGACATTTGCGATATCGTATTTTTAGACAAAATTTGGTTTCTATTTCTACATTGGACAAATTCAGTTACTCTTGTTCAATTGAAAATAGTTAGTTTGATTTTTTTCTTAATTCAAATATTGTGGGTACCAGTTCTTTATCTAGTTATGATAACATATATCTTCTTAATATGGTTGCCTCTTATACAGAAATATTGCTTGTAAATTCACATGGTATTAAATATAAATTAACTAATGAGAATTTTGTTTTGTTATGGCACAAGTTATTAGGTAACATCTCTCAAAAGAAAATAAAAAATCTTATATCAAAAGGAATTCTTGATTCCCTTAATTTTTCAGATTTGAGTGTTTATGTTAATTAAATTAAGGGAAAGCAAACAAACATAAGGAGATTATGTGCCAATAGGACTTCGGA